AGATACCCCCCGAATCTCCCCAGAACTAGATAATTTCATTACCCTACAACAACAACCCTATCACCTTGACATCCCAACCATAAACCAAATCTCATCCACAATAGATTCATCCAACCCTCCTACCCCTACAGCCTCTTCAATTTATACTGAATCATTAGCACCATCATCCACATCTAATGAATCTTCACTCAGCACTAATAGAGCTTACCGCACTTTTAAAAGAAAGTTCCCCAACCATCCTTTCCCAGCGAAACCAGGAACAGCCCGTGAATATATCAACCATCCAAAACACACTAACACAAAAGAATTTTTAGCTATCACCTTACCCTCATTTCCACAATACACCTGAAACACCCCTCACGACACTAACGAGACACGTAACTTTGTAGACGAACACGTTTTAATGCCTACCCTTCCTTGGACCTCATATTATCTTTTTACTAATCCCCTTTGCTTACCCTTATCTAACACTCACATCGATATAGAACGAAATAAAAACATGATATATCGACTCACCACACCACTAACATCTAAACAATTTACCTACATTGGATATAAAAAATCACTAAAAAAAACACACACTGCACCCCGAGCTAATGAATATACACTAGAATATTACGATCATAACATCATCAGAGCTAACCAAGATCAATTCTTAGACGACGATCGCTTCGCTAACCCACAAATCACCGAGAAATTTTTCATTAAAACACCATATGTATTTACACTAAATATCTTCGATCGCAAGTTTGACCACATTATTTCAGAAGCACTAACAGACACACAAGCCTACGAAAGTTTTAAAGAACGCTTCTAAATATTTTCACTAACCTTTCATTTCCTTGCACCACATGAAAGAGATTTGCACTGCTCACACGATATTATGTTGCGCACTAAACAAACACACACATATACTTATTATCGTTTTATCCAAAATCACTTCGACCTACACACTCCCTCCAGACAACCACACCATCGTTTTCAATTCATCAATTCCAAATACACCTCACCATTCTTTCTTAACTTCACATATTGCATTAAAGATACTAACCTTCATGGTATTCTTCGAAATTATGATCCCATAACCCAAATGTATATTTTTTGTCCAATCACCAAGACCTTCAATGCAGAAGAATCCCGACCCTTCCTTATCCCACACGAGTTTGTACAACCTATAGAAATCCCCATTTTAGAATTCATCCATAACACTAAATTCAATCACAAATTATATAATCTAATCCAAAACACACCTTATGAATTTGCAGTTGGCACTGAAGAACTAACCACCATTAAAGCACTTCAATTGCTTTGGCCACTACTTCAAACTAAAAATATCATTCGCATTTTAGCTAAATTACTAACAACTTCAGATCTCATCCACGACATCTTCCCCCACGGTTTCTTCCCCGACGACTAACAGGTAAGTATGAATTATACATATTACTAACTAATTAAAATATTAGAAACTCACCATTCTTTATCCATGTTTTCTTTAGAATTTTAGCCTTCACCCAACGATCATCTGAAAAATTCACAAAAGAAAATAAAAATTGAAAACTTCTTCAAACTGTTTAAAACTCTATTAATTTTTTTACACCAAATAATTAAATAAATATAATACCAATGCAGTAATTTAATTTATAAATTTTTCCCCCACAAGCAGTAAATCTAAAAATTATGAAAATTTGTAACTTAATTTTCCCCAACAACTAGCAGTAAAATTAAAAATTCTATGTAGTAAATTAATAAGAAGCAAATGCAGTACTAACCTTTTGATATTTTCATTCACTCGCACAAGAATTCTATCCAAACTCGCACAGCTCGCCCACGAAGAATTGTTTAAATAATGAATTTCAGTTTCAAGCTTTCACAACTCAACAACTCTAACACACGATAACAAGTTTCAAACTTTCCTTTAACCCGGTTGGAAAGGAATTATATACTAAACAAAACTAACCAATGCAGCTTACTAAACACCACAACACATAGCATAACAGCATGACTAAGAAAAGGAAACCAACGGTACCCAAACCGGATTAACCCAGTTTAAAACTGGATAATTTATTCTTTTGAAGACTATTATAAAGTCTAAGAAAGAAATAATAAAACACAAAAAAGTCGAAAGACAAACCCATACCACAAACAATTTGATTTTTGAAAAAAGGACATAACCAACAAAACATAAGAAAAACCACAACAAACCCAACATAAAACGTTGTCACATAACAGGACCTCTCACAAAAACCGCATGCAATCATACTCCCACTCCTGGCCTAACCCACCAGGAAGGACGTCCTGAGCATGCTCTATAGCCGGCCTAACCCACCGCGCTACATCCACGCTTTGTGACCACACTCCTATTTTTAATAAGAGCTACTCAAGGGTGAGTAACTCTTCAAAATAACTGAACTAAAACAAAAAAGCTTTTGTGAAAACAACTAACTAAAATCATAATTAAAAAATATTAAACTAATAAAAGTTTTATAAAATGTAAATTACATTATGCAATACATAGATCAGAATACAACACCAAGGACGAACATCCAAAGACAAAACGACCCCACTACACTCGAGAAAGAATGGCCAACTACAATCAATATGCCGCTCACAATCGCAACTCAAAGGATTTAGAGTACGACTTGACTTCGCAGAAAAGGACTTCATTGAACTAGACCAATGACCACCTCGATGTTCAAGTATACGTACAGATCCGAGTAACCAGGCATCCCCTCCACGCACAATCTCCACGCCATTCCTAGACAAGATCAAAACACAAAGAAGTTCTCATCAATGAAACAGAAAAACCTGACATAGCCAACCATTCTGAAATCAGATTTGAGTTTGTTGCAAAGACCCAGTCGTTGTCTTGAGAAGACACAACGATTGAATCTGGGACTTCTCTAATAAGAAAACCCAGAAGAAATAAGATGTTCGCCAAATACCAACGTCCATCATCCATCCTTTGAATTGCAGAAAGACTATTCTAAAAAACTCTGTAAAACCCGGATGGGTGGAACCTGATCTAAACTACATTTTATGATTGGATAAATTAGATATTTTACCAATGTAAAGTATTTAATATTAACCAATCATGATCCATCTGACTAACAATCCACTTATTTGTAAGTGCTGAAATTACTTGTAATTTCAGCACCAGAGAGATTTGAATTTAACTTAGAAATTAGTTGACTCTCCAAGAAGACTTCAGCAACCGCAATAAACCAGTATACCCTAGATCTATTGAGCCTAGCAGAGACTAGTTAAACAACCTGAGACTAGATAGTATAAGAGTAAGATTAGGATTGGTATTAGACTAAGAAGTTGCACGAATCTATCCGGCCGAAAATAAGATAGCGTGACGAGCAGACGGTGTACCCTATCCGAAATTACTCTATGAGTTATACCCATCGGTCCTAACTCATTCGCAACCAAATATTTCTCGTAGCTACTTTGGCAATTCAACCTCATCCAAGACTCTGCCTGACCAATTTTTTTTTCCACAGTAGATTTCGCATCTTTCAGTTTTTTTCTGACTTGTTTCAGTGTCTGCTTCGTGTTTATGGTTGCTCATAATACCCCTATTCTTCTGGCAAAGATAGAATATACTTGAAGGCCACCGTTTTTTTATCTATCTCTCTTTTCACTACCTCTCTCATCTTGGCTTGGTTCCCGATGCTTTCTTTTCATCAGATCTCTCCTGGTTTATCTCCGTTCTTAGATATTTCAGTTGAACACTCGCACTGCTTGGTTCGTGAAAAAAACCGTGGTCAGAATCAGTAGATGTTTGACTTTTGACAATATTTTAAACAAATTTATAGGGGTTTATAAATTGGCAGTTTGACCAGATTGGGATGATTTACCCACAATAACTTGCGTTTCATAGCGCCAATTCATTCATCGCAGCTAGTTTTATTGTATCATGTTAAGGGGTAGACAGGTTGTCGACAACTTCTAACAGAGGTCATTTAGGGCTCGCGATACTGATTATGAGGATGCGTTTTCAGTAATTGATTTCAGTTAAAATCGATAGCTTTATCATCGTTCAGTTTTTTGCTGATCCAAATTTTCAGCTTGATTTTTTTTCGTGTTTTTCTGTGCTGGCATTAAATCGAAGTGGAGAACTAATGTCATTACTATGAGCAAATGCTGATTTTAAAATTAATTTAAAAAGAAATCAAATCTTATTAAAATCCCTTTCTATGGTAGCTAACAAAGAATTTCCAACCCACTAAAGAACTAAGATCCAACTGCTGAGCATATCTAAGTTTTGTTCCTTTTAACGATTTTTACCATTAGGTAATATAGGGGAAATATGAACCACTATTCCTGTCAAAAAATAAGAAAGCGTAAACATTTTTTTGGACACAAAACACAAAAAGAAAGACCTCTTTCTAGAAAAACTTATCTAGAAAATTCAAATACAGCATTTCGAACAAAAGGTCTTTAAGTAGGCATAATTCAGCTAATGTTAGCCTGCTTGTTTGCTTTATTCGCTCGGATTATGAGGAAAAATCAAAAATTTCAACCCGGTTTTTCTCGACACTAGAAAAAAATTGGAAATTTTTCAATGTGGTCGGTTTGAATCACGACTGAATGGGCTTTAATATAATATAACACTCAACTCAGTCCGATGATTATTTGAGGCACCTGATTTTTCGTGGAAAAAAACTAAAACACACCCGAATGCAAATTTCCTCCCCCTTTTCAATGGTCGAACAATAATCGCGGCTTCTGCTATTTGCAGAGAGAGAAGCTATTGTAGGTTATCCTTTGTTGTTCTTGATTCTAGCCTCACACATTTCTTATAAGTCATTGTGTTTTTTTAGTTTTCAACTGACACGGAAGCTAAAAATTTAAAATAGAGCCCTTATATCAGGAGCGGAAAGTTGTTTTCAAAAGAGTCTAGCTCTTTTCGTAGAACCACTGTTGCATGCCTGATTAAAATCTGCTGGCAACTATTTTTAATTTTTTCTTACTACGTTCTCTGAAAATATCCTGACCGTTATATTTCTCCTCCACTTTTGGCTCAGGTTTGCTATTTTTTCGCTCTCCCGACTGCATACAGTATCCGCCGTCCGAACTGCACGAGTAGCCATGGGGACAGCAGTGCAATTTGTCACTACAGCAAACTGCATCAGAGAGGGGACAACATGCTTCAGGCGAGCAGAGAGTTCCGACACATGCTGAAAACAGAACAAAACTCTAATATCATCTCAGTAATGAGCTTTTAGATTATTCCACATAACCTCTAGAAATAATTTTCTTTTTCTGAGCTCAGTTTTATTTTTATTCTCTGCGACGGGTGTTAGTATTGCAAATTAGCTGACCTGTTTGGGTTCCGTTGAGTTTGGATGAGTCATCTGGGCAGAGTTTGACTTCTGTACACACAGTCTGGGGGTCCAGATCCTGCTCCAATGCTTCAATTAACAGCTGAAACATCGCCCGTTTAGCGGAATGTTTTAAATAAATTTTTAATAACTTAAATAAAAACTTTTTTCATATAACATGACAAAGTTTCACGAAACTGCCCAAAGAACTTATTTGAAGAATCTGATTTGCTGCCGAATGATGTTGTGATTTGGTTGGCTGTGTTAGTTGTCATGTAATGTTTATTGTCTCGAAAATTTAAAGACATTTGCCAAAAAAGTAAAACTGAACAAAATCGTAGTTCTCGATTTTTTGAAGCGAATGAAAACATAACTATCTTGTTTACAAAACAAAAAATCGACTTAAAATTCCCAACATAACAATATTTAAAAAAATATTTGAGAAAAATAAAAAATGGGAGATATGTTTTAACAGGTGCTAATTTAAAGTTTAATAGCTGGATCGCTTTTTGTTATACTTCGCACAGATTTTATAGTTTATTTCAAAAGCCATTTTTGTTTGCAAAAGAAGAGCAAAATTTCAGTTTTGAATAACATTTCATCTGGCAAAATACTGTATTTACAAAAACTATCTTAGCAGCATGTATAAATGATTGAAAGTGAAATGACTATATGATGCATTATAGTTCTCAATTTTAATACATGCACTATAATTAAAAATACCATTATATTTGTAAAATTTCACTTGAATTTCAATTTTATTATACTTTGAAAGTAACTTAGCAGACTGAAGCATAAATTTTGGTGTATTTTTATGCAATTTTGTTAAAAATTAATTAAGTAATTTTTGCTGAACTTTGATCAAATTAGTGGAGCTAAAATTTTTATCAAAAAATGTTCGGTTGTAACTTTGCAAAACCAGTTCCACCCAGGGGCGGATCCAGTGGAGGGGGGTGTATTTTCATTGTTTTTTGAAAATTTCTTTACGAGGTCAAAATGTGCACTGGATAGGCGCACAATTTTGTGTCTGTATGTTCCTGGATTCCAGAGACTAATTTTTGATCATGTTCCGAAATGTAAGTGGATTCCACCCACAAAATTTCTTTGGATTCGGCATACAAATACATGTAACGTAATTTTTTCGGCACATTTGTTTTGTCGCGGATTCCAAAACAGGAGAATATAGCTAATAGTTCTGGATTCCACAATTAAGAGCGGGTTCCTCAAATGTTAATGGATTCTGCAAATTTATGCGGATTGCGCTTACTTTTTGCGGATTCCGCTTACAATTTGCGGATTCCACTTACAATTGTGAATTCCAGGACAGCTTAAATTTACTAAACACATAATGTTATTTGTTTGTGGATTCCACAAACTGTTCCGGACTTCGCAAACTTTGTTGCGGATTCCACAAATTTTGTTGCGGATTTTGCAAAATTGCATGTTTTTGGAGAAAAAATTTTAAGCAATACAGTGTTTTAGCTATTTGTTTGTGGAATCCAAAGCTGCAAAGAAGATCAAAGAAAAGTAACAATGTTGTGGATTCCGCGTCAAATCTGATTTTGGCCTGTTCCGGAATCCACTCACAATGCACAAAATGCACAGTTTGGCCTCGTAATGTTTGTCAAGTTTTTTTTAAGTCGACCAAATTGAGTTTCCGAGAGCTCTTCCAGAACCAATTCTGAAAAACTTTGCCTGAAAAATTGAATTTTTTTGCGCGCGCTTTCAAGTTGGTCGGCCGGAAATGGATGCCAAAAAACAACATCAAAAGGCGACCCTTTGTTTGGCGGAGGGGGTCGTAGAAGTCTTGTAAAAAAACCTTTGATTCAGTCTTATCGTTATAGGTTGGTCTTATAAAAAGTCGTCCTCAGTACGAGTAGCAGCTTTGCGAACAGTTCCGTAAGGTCCAAGCTTTCGCACTCAAATTTTTGGCAAGAATCAAGCATAGTTTGACAAAAAGTTGAAATATCGAAAATGAAGTGAAGTCTAACCGGCAAGTATCCATTCACCAGTTCAAGGCATTCATCTACATAATCAGATGGCAATTTATTACACATCTCCTTCGCTGCATCTTCAATCTCATCTGTAGTACCTCCTTCGCCCAAATATTCTTTCGCCCAACCCACCAGTTGTTCACAAACCACGCACTCGGATATCTTCGGCAAGGTTGCATAAGATGTCAGTTCAGTTTTTCCTGTAAATAGACCGAGGGAGCTAATGTTGAGGCAAAAGTTAAATCAAAACTATTTTGGATGTTTTTTGTCTTTATTTCCTCAAGAAGAGATCTGTGATTCCAGTTTTGTTTTATTTTTAAGAACAGCTGCATTTTAAAAACTGCCAGAGCTCATCGCAATCATGAGTTTTAGCTTTTTACACACCCCTACAGGGGCGGATCATGGATTTTCTCGAGGGGGCGGATTTTCAAAAATTTTTCTAAATTTTGTCACTTTTTCATAGGACGACCAAACTGATTTTCTGAGCTCTCGCTTATCACTATGAAAACCCTATTTTGACCAAACTTTTTTCGCCGCACTGTCGCCTTTTTTTGGAAAATTTTGACCAAAAAATCGTTTTTTTTCGGCGCGCACTCCCCTCTCAACATTGGTATAATTTTAAAATTTTAGGATCAGTCAGCCAAAAAGGAATATCTCAAAATAGTACAAAAGAGGACCCTTTAGGTTGGCATGGGGTCGAAAAACAGAAAAACTTTGACCTATATTGGTTTATACGGGCTGTTTGATAAAACAATTATTAGAATCGTCAAAAAGTACCAAGAAAACGAATAAATTATGCATGAATTGTCTAATTTCATTAAGTTTTTCGATTAAATTTCTTAAAATTTTTGCTTAAACTACTCAAATTGTGCATAAAATGTTCGTTGCGTTGGTATGATTGATATTTCTGATAATTAATTTACCGATTAGCTTATAAAAGTTAATATTTTTCTGTTTTTCTGCTCTTGGACCCATTCTGCTCTTACACCATTCTGCTTATTGACTGGCCACCGATAAAATAGTACCGAGCGGGGGCTTTTCTAGTGACTTGAGTGCGTCAAAAAGCATAAGTTTCTACACTATAATTGCCCAGAGCCACTTATAGATGCCCAATGCCCAATGCCAATTCTTAGAAAATAGTCAATTGAAATTTATCCTAATAGAATTTTGTGATGGAATTTTTTGCTTTTATATATTTAAAAGAAGATAAGCTTATGCATAAAACGTGCTAACTTAATTAGACTGCTGTTGATTGGTCAGCGCTAGAATTAGACATAAATAGACATTTTCCAAAATTAAGTGCAAACATTTTGAGAGAGAGAGAGAGAGAGTGTGAAAGGTTTAAAAATCATCTGACAAACTAGAGGTACTCACTGAAACACATCCTTATACCGACGATATAATCAAGTATAATCAATTATTTTCCATGAAACACTAATGCAGGTTTAAAATTGAAATAAACTGAAGTCAGTTTTACTTTAAATGAGTGAACTGATTTGTTTTGTGCCCAGTTATAATTACCTTTTTTAATTAGCGAAAATCTTTTCTTGCCCTAATTGACTTTCCAGATAAGCGATTGCCTTTTGAAAGTTTACGGCAAATTTTTTGAAAGTTTACGAGTCAGTAGCCCAGAGTAGTCCATCATTTTTAGCACTATCATCGCAAGATGTTTTTTTTATAAAGCTTAAATAAAAAAAACTTAATTGTACTTTTCGAACGACCTTTTTCCTCTGTATGAGAAGACGAGAACTCTTAACAAGTTTGTAGTTTGCTTCTCCTCTTCTCACAACGTTTTTAATGTACACGGTAAGGATTCCGCGTAGGTTTTCCAGTGATTGAAATATGTTACAGTCGATTACCGTGTCTTAGCTTTATCAGTGTATTATTTTCTCTGATGTATTATTTTCTTTATCAGTGTATCATTTTCTGCGTATTCTTAGACGCAGAACATTGAAAAGACCCAGGAAAAGACGCCAACCCCAATAAATCAGTCAAATACCCGGGTTGACCTCCATAGACCAAAAATCCTCGTTTTTTGTATGGCATGTTTTTGTATGCCTGGATCAATGTCTGGTAATTTGAAAATTCAAATTTTAGAAATAGTCATCTTTGAAAATGTTTGCCAAAATTTAAAAGTTTTATACTTTCGTTATATTTTTTGCGTGAGACAGAATTAAGACATTGCAGGCTGTTTCCAAAGCATTTTTAATGCGAGACGGCCAATCCTTTGGTTACTAAGTTTGACTAACCAAGGTTTAAGTCATTTGTGTTCGGTTACGAACACAACCAAAAAATGTTGAGAAATTAAACTGTAAAAATTCAATAATTTTGTTTTATGAAAAAATGCTAGTCATACAATTTCCACATATAAAAAAATACTAATCATAGACCTTTCATGCAATTTCCTGTACGTATGGAATTGTATGGAAAGTGTATGACTAGCATTTTTCCATATATGGAAAATGTATGACTAACAATTTTTGTCAACCCGGGTACTGAGTATATCTGATTTTTCTTACTTATTCTTAAATTTGGTTCTTAAATTTGAAATAGTGGGAAATACTTAACAATCTTTCTATCAAAAAAAAACAAAAGTGCTTTCAAGTTTTTCTTTCTGGAAACAAAACAAAAAAAAAACAAGTGATGAAAGAAAATTTCTCTGGCTTACATTTTCTACATTATAAAAGAGTTAAGAATAGTTTGATAAGTCGATAAGCTTATGAGAAAAAGTAGAGAAAGCATTTGATTTATCAAACGAACTCCAAAAATTTTTTCTTGCAACTGCAATAGAATGAAATTTTTTGACATTCTCTTCAGATTCATATTTTGTGTTCAGTTTAATGTGCTGCAAAAATCAATAAGTTGATGAACGTAGCTATAAAATTTCTTTATGTACATTTGTGCCAGTTTTCTTAAATTGACATCAAAGCTGCTAATTTAGAATAGGGCCCTTAATTAGGGAGAGTGAAAGTTTATATACAATTAGCCCCACTTCTCACGGAGAATCGCTGTTCCACCTCTGATAAAACCTGCCTGCGTCTTTTGTTTTTTGTTTCTGTTTCTGTGAATATTTTTTGACAATATACTGACTGTTGTAGTTCTGGTCCACTTTTGGCTGAGATTTTTTGTTTTCCTCCCCCGACTGCATACAGTATCCGCCATCCGAACTGCACGAGTAGCCATGGGGACAGCAATGCAAATTGTCACTACAGCACACTGCGTCAGAGAGGGGACAACACGCTTCAGGCGAGCAGAGAGTTCCGACACATGCTGAAAACAGAACAAAACTCTAATATCATCTCAGTAATGAGCTTTTAGATTATTCCACATAACCAAAACTCATTAACCTCTAGAATTAATTTTCTTTTTCTGAGCTCAGTTTTATTTTTTTTCTCTGCGACGGGTGTTTGTATTGCAAATTTCTCTTTTTATAGGTTTTATTACAAAATTACATCGGTCACTTGCAAAATGAGCCGAAACAAAATCTTTAAAATTTGTCCAAAATTTTTTATTATGTTCATATTATTGAAATGAGAGTGAGAGTAACCGAATGAGAACAATCGAAGAGCATAATTCTAAATTAAACCCATTTTTGGCTATTCATTTTTATTACATTTCTTAAAGATTTTTGGTGCCACATTACAAGGACAAACTGTGTTCTGGATACGCGAACCATTTTTTGTGCCATATATATGCATAGAGCGAAAAAATTAAGAAATGAGCGTAGCCTATAGAGCTGCCTTATGATTAAGCCATCTGGCTGCAGATTCCACAAAAAAAACATTAAAAATGCCTTGTTGTGGACTCTACGAAGAAACCATTCACAAATCACAAAAGCCCCTTTCCCACTCACAAAAGCCCCAGTTTAGACTCTTATTGCTGTTTTCAATGAAAAGTGGTATAATTTTTTGAAATAAGCTCTTCTTGTTGCAGCTGAACAAACCTGTGTTAAAAAAATTAGGGAAAATATCAAGAAATAATTTTTTTCTGACGTTCTGTTTCTGGTTTGTTTTAAATGGCAATTACCTTATCCATAGAAATTACCATAAAAATATGCTGGCCATTTTAGTCGGTCTACACTTTTGAACGGCGCTATAAATGTTATTTAGTACATTCTGAGCAAAAAATCTGGCTTTTTTTACAAACCTGAAGAGAATCAAATCAGATAAAAATTCTACTCCCATTTCAGAAATGAGAATCTGATTTAGAAAGGGGCTTAATCCTTATTTATGCCCAGTTTTTAGCAAAAAAATACGTCGTGACCACAAAAAACTTCAAGTGTCTCTTTGCTCCGTTCAGTTTTCTTTGCTCGATTTTCCAATTAGATTTTTATCACTGACTGATCTTAGTATTGCGACTTTGATCACCTGTTTGGGTTCCGTTGAGTTTGAATGAGTCATCTGGGCAGAGGTCGACTTCTGTACACACAGTCTGGGGGTCCAGGTCCTGTTCCAACGCTTCAATCAAGAGCTGAAACGTCACCAGGTTTGTGATTAGGTTTTCGATGTTTTATTTGTTTATTTGATTTTTTGAAATTGCTGGACATTTAAAAAAAATTGTTTAGTGGATATATATTAATTTTGAATTGTCATTGAACAATTTTGTGCTGCTGTTGGTTATTTTGTTGTCGAATGAAGTTCAATTTATCCAAAATTTAAACACATTCACCAAAACAGCGTAACTGAACGAAATTGAAGCCAGAAAAAAAATCGTATACTGGGTTTTGAAGCGGTCAAAAACAGGATTTTTTCGATTCCAAAACAAAAAATTATCTGAAAAGTTTCCAACCATAATCAGTTCCCACCAATTTCAGAAAAGTATTAAGAGAAAAACGAAAAACGTTAACAGTTTGTTGTATTATGGTTTTTAAGTTGGAAATCCATTAGAAATTTATTTTAAAATGCAAATACAAGAACCAAAACTAAAATTTTGAAGCTAGTTGTCAATGGATTGTCGAATGCAGAAAAAGAAAGATTTTGTGATGAAGCGAAATAGTAAAGTTTTGATCGAAAATTAGCCCAATTGGGAAATACCGTGTTTGAAATTTTGTCTGTACTCAGTGTTTTCAAATCTTTGTTCATGTTATAAGATAATAATAAGACAATTGATCATATCAGGGCCCTGAACTGAATAATCCGATTGCGTTATAAGATCTCTGCAATACTATGTTTCAATCCGCCAATTGTTTTTTTGTTAGTGTAGTAACAAAACTCGAAGTGATTTGGTTCTCATCTTGTAGCAAGTTATTTTTATTGAATTTTTTTCGAAAATATGTAGCCTAATTTGACTGAAAAAAAATGAAATAGTGAAAATGAACTGAAATCTAACCGGCAAGTATCCATTCACCACTTCAAGGCACTCATCGACATAACCAGAGGGCAATTCATTACACATCTCCTTCGCTGCATCTTCAATCTCATCTGTAGTACCTTCTTCGCTCAAATATTCTTTCGCCCATACCACAATTTCTTCACACAACGTGCACTCGGATATCTTCGGAAAAGTCGCATAAGATTCGAATTTTCCTGTAAAGACTGGTAAGTCTAGTATTCAACTAATCATGAGAAAGGTTATCTAAAAACAATTCTGAGCTGCTTAGCTTTTTTCTTTAACAAAAAAACATTTTCAAGCTCGGAACATGTTAGCTATTGGAAGCCTTACCTCAACTTCCGGTCCTGAAAAAACTCAAGAGCACTTTAAAACCCTTACCAACTTATTCACAATAATTTTGAGAAAGACGTTGAAAAGCTTAAATTCAAATTGAATCTAACAATTCATATATTTTATTGAAACTTGAGAAGTCACGGAGACTTTTAATGGATTAATTTTTGGATTAAAAGCTCTGAAACTCACTTTTTTTGATTTTCAAACCACTTTTCTTGATTTTCAAACCAAGTTTTCTCGTTTTTTCGGTTTTATCTCAAAACAGCTAAATTGGATGTAAAATGAGGCAAGTTCTGGCTGAACTGGATTTTGTTCACAGTGGGTGAACTGATTTTTTTGCGCGTGCACTAAAAATTCATAAAAGCAAATATCAGAAGCCAAATTATGGCAAAAAAACAATATGTTTCGCTAAAACTTCTACCACTTGTTGCAGTCAATCGCACTTAAGTGCGAGGCCATTTGTTATCCCAACATTATTCTTGACTTTGAAGAACAACGGCTGCATTTCAAAATTTGACGGCAGATTTGTGAAGAAGAGGCCTTGAGCTATCCTTAATTTTAGTTTCAATTCCACTACCATTGCATTATATATTGTTTATAGACCTTTAGTGTGTACCTTTTGACTTTGTAAGAGTGAGACCAAAACTCTCAACAGATTTCTGGTTTTCCTCCCCCGACTGCATACAGTATCCGCCATCCGAACTGCACGAGTAGCCATGGGGACAACAGTGCGAATTGTCGCTGCAGCACACTGCATCAGTTAGGGGACAGCATCCTTCAGGTGTACAAAGAGTGCCTGCGCAATCTGAAGAAGAGTTTTTTATATTGGTAAGTTTTTATTATCAATAGCCAGTGGCGGATTTATGGGGGTGGACATTTTTCTCTTAGGGGTTTGACCCCCTTTGTACTATTTTGAAATTACCATTTTTGACTGGTGGCCCTTAAAATTTCTTAATTTTCTTTTTGGCCTGTTTTTTTTAAAAAAAATTGCCTGAGGCTTAGAAAATTTTACAAAAAAAGGTCTTATTAGTGCTTTGGGAGAGCTCGAGGAATCAAATCCTCCTAGATCCGTCCCTGTCAATAACTATCAATAGCTTATCAATAAATTGTTTAAACTACAACTTCTCGATTTGATCTATCAAATCATCTAAATCCATAATTGTCATACTATATACAAAGTCTTTAAAATCAATCAAGTTTGTCCCTTTCATATAGGTTGAATTAAAATAAAGGGTAAACAAGGTTTCCAGTATATTTTGCAAAGAGTCAGGGGCGGATCTAGAAAACCTTTTTTTTCGCCCGCGCTTCCGCCTTAAATTTAGAATATAGGGGCTAAAGGTGCTCTTAGAAAGCCTTCCGGCCAATAAATCGATAGAGAGTGTCGTTAAATAGTATATGAGGGGTGCCCTTTGAAGTAGACAGTGGATCGAAGGGGAGGGGAAACCTCTAAACCCACTATTGCAAATAGCAATGAGCTCTGTGCTTGTACTTTGAGTGTTATAATTCATGACTTTTGATTTTTATGAATGTACTAAGAATGAAATATATATATATATATTTTTGTTTTTCAAGATAAATCAGGTTATACAAATTTTCATTGGCCGAGTGGAATATCATATAAGAACCCTTTCAGTCGTGATTTGAATGAAAAAAAAATTTCCAAAAAGTTTGTTCAGTTTCGAGAGTTCCAGTCTAATTTCGACCGATAAAAGCGAAGGATAAGTCATCAATTTTTTGGTTCGTCTAATTTTTAAATTCTTTTAGTCAATTTTTGAAAAAAATGTTCGTTCAATATGCTTACTCCTAAGTGAATATCGAATATGCCTAAGATTCGTTCACATCGTTTTATCAAACCACGCACAAAAAAATTTTTTTTTATTGTATTTTGTTTTTAAAATATAATCGGAACAATCCGGGCTTCTTGCACAGCAATCGTCTATCCTTGTTACCTGTTTGTGTTTCGTTGAGACTAGACTGGTCGGCTGAGCAGGGCGGCCATTTATGACACACTGTCTCGGGATCCAGGTGTTCCTCCAGCACTGTGAACAGTATCTGAAAAACAGCAAATTCTTTTCCTGGATCCTTCCGAGTTGTTTTAAAGCTTCGTGAGTTAAGTCCTTAAGGCTATACTCATAGAGTAATTTCAGATAAGGTACACCGTCCGCTCGTCACGCTATGTTGTTTTCGGCCGGATACTTTCGTGCAACTTCTTAGTCTAATACCAATCTTAAGATCTAGGGTATACTGGTTTATGCGAGTCCGTCTCTCTGGAGGAGGCAACTGTATTCTAAGTTTTATTCAAATTGCTCCGGTAATAAAACTACAAGTAGTTTCAGCACTTACAAATAAGTGGGTTGTTAGTTGATGGAATATGATTGGTTAGTATTTAATATTTTATAGAAATAAAATATCATATTGATAACCAATAATAAATTCTAGTTTAGATCTGGTTCCACCCATCCGGGGTAAGAGAGTTTTAGTTTTTAAATGTTTGATGTAGTGAAGGATGGGCGATATTGTTTTTTCTTTGAAGTTGCGAGCTTTTTTAGAGAAGGAAGAAGTGTTTCCAATCGTATTGGACGGATGAAAAACATCATGTTCTTATTTTTAGGTGGGTCTTGTTGATCGTGGTAGTCTTGGGAGTTTGTGTCAAGATTTCTGATCGGTTTCAATGAAGTAATGATTTCGTTAAATTAGAAGCGAGACTTGGTGTAGCATGAAGTTTGACTTTTTCGCGTGAAGTGCCAAGTGACTAGGATTCGTACGTGTACTCAACATCGAGATGACCTTTGGTCTGGTTCAATGGGTTTCCTTTGCTGCGATGCTGGGTCGTACTTTGAATTCTCTGAGGGTAGTGACTATAGGCAGCAAATCGGATATATTTGCCATTCCTTAGTTGGAGTGCGTTTGGGTTGTCAACTTCTTTGCTGCTAGCCTGTGGGCTTTACGAAATCTATATATACTGCCTTTCAATTTTTACATTTATAAATCTTTGTTAGTTTCATTTTTACTCATGATCTGGTATTAATGGTTATTGCAAAAGCGTTTTTAATTTCAGTTCAATTATTTTTAAGAGTCACTCACCCGTGGATGTAGCTTGGTGGGTTAGGCCGGCTATAGAGCATGCTCGGGACGTCCTCTCTGGTGGGTTAGGCCAGGAGTTGAGTATAGTTTTATGGTCTCTTTGAGCAGAGTCCCTTTGTGTGTTCAACCTTTTGTGTCTTTTTATTACTTGTTTTCTTCTTTTTTGTTTTGGTCCTTTTCTCAAAAATCAAATCGTTTGGTTTGGGTTTGCCTTTCGATTTTTTTTGTGTTTTCTTTGTTTGTGTTAAGACTTGAAAATGGTCTTCAAAAGAATAATATATCCAGTTTTAAGCTGGCTTTAACCTGATTTGGGTAGCTTGGGTTTGCTTTTCTTAGTCATGCTATTAGGTTGTGGTTTGTGGTGTTAGTATGTAATAGTCCAAACTTACCAACGCAGCTGTTTAATTTGATTATTATTTAATTCCTTTCCAAACGGGTTATGGGAAATATTGAAACGTTTCAAAACTGCTTAGAGCTGTTATCAGTAAGAGTTGAATTCATTTTTTAAACAATTCTTCGTGAGCGAGCTGTGCGATTGTGGATAGAATTGTGGTCGAGTAAACAATTTAAGTTTATAAAGAAGCGTCAATTAAAAAGGTCAGTACTACTTTGAATTTTTTTGCAACTTTTTTGAATTTACTCCATTGAAATATCAATTGGGACGATTAATGGGCGGGATTCATTTACATTGAAATCTTAGTTAGTGGGCAGAATATATGTTTTTGTCTGATGGGATCATAGTTGCGGATGATGACTTGCATGTTAGTATCTTTGATGCAATAAGTAAAATTAAGAAAGAATGGTGAAGTGTATTTGGAGTTAGTAAATTGAAATCTGTGATTATATTTCGTGATGGTGTGTGAGTTGTATAATGATATTGTATAAGTTTATAGTTAGTAATTCTACGTGTTCGTTTAGTTTGTAACATGATGTCGTGTGAGCAGTGCAAGTCACCTTCTTTGGGTGTGAGGAAATAAAAGTTTAGTGAGAAATGATTGAATTTGTTAAAGTATGAGTCATAAATTTGTGTTTCGCGAAGTGCTACCGAAATGATGTGGTCGAATGTTTTATTTAGGCTATTCAGAGTGAAAACTTATTGCGTGGGAATGAAGAATTTTTCTGTGATTTGGAGGTTAGCGTTTTTGTCGTCGTCGAGGAAGATGTGTTCGTTGGCTCGGGTGACAGAATGATCATAGTAGTCGATGGAAAATCTGTTAGCTTTTGGTGAGTGATTGATTATATCCATGTCAGTGAATTGTTTTGCAGTGGGCGTGCTTGTTAGATGGTAGGTTTGCGTTTGGCATAATTCTTTATCATCAGGGTTGTTATATAGTGGTAGTGATAGTGGATTAGTATAGTGATAGAATGATGTCCATGAAAGTGTGGGGTATAACACATGTTCAACTACATATTTAAGTTGGTCCATGCCAGGGTCTGAGTAAAAATAAGTATATTTAGGGAAGAAGGGTAGATATAATTGAAGTTATTCTTTGGTGTTAAGGTGAAGTGGGTGATTTATGAATGATTGTGCAGGTTGAGGGTTTGTAGGGAATGGGCTGTGGGGGAATTTTCGTTTAAAAGTTCTATTTGCTCGGTTTTAAGTGTAAGGTGTTAGATTTGGGGATTCCCACGACCTTATAGATTGTAGAGCTGGTGAATGGTGAGTGTTTGAGGATGCTGTAACTGTTGCTGAAGCGTGATGAAATCATCCAATTCGCTTTCTAAATCAGTATTTACAGGGCTTTTGTTATCTGGCGGGTCGCTTGTTAAAGGGGAATATATAGGTGTCCCATCTGTGTGGGATGAAGGAGTGGAAAGAGCTTCAAATTTGATTTGGGAGTCGAAGGGTTGGAAGGAGTGTTGGGAAAAGATGGACGGGCTGGATTCTGAGGCGGCAAAATCGTCGGGTGTTTCTATGTCTGAGTTATGGTATTGGGAAATAGTGTTAAATATAGTTGTAGTGGAGTTAGCATCTTATTCCATGCTTGATTAATTGTTAGAACTAGGTGATTCAGCTGGGGGGAAAGCAAAAAGTGGAATGTTGGTAACGTTGCTTTGAAGGTTGGCTGGATAAGAAATGGAACAATGGAGGGATCCAACCTGGCGGCTCATCGTGGGCTAAAAAGATGATTGTTCTGAGAAGGAAAGTTAGTGGAACGTGGTTGTTCTATGATTTAATCATATGTTTCGTCTATTTTTGGTTGCTGGGTTAGGATGTGTGTAATCGGGCTTTGTGGATAACTACATCTTTGAGAGATGTGCTCCGTCAGGGCTATTTTTTGTGAAATTTTGTGGTTCTAAAGATAATGGATGGTTATGACTTATGTTTTGTAATTGTGGTGCAGATGGCGTTGTATATGTGGTGTTTTGTGAATCGTTATATATATGTATTCGGTGTTGTTGATAGTTTTGTATTGTATTCTTTTTTTTCAGCGTCTAGAAGTATTTTGTTTATTTTATGTTGTTGAGAAAATTCCAAAAAATCCTGCAAAAAGTATGCGTGCTACACTTTCTTAATTGCTTACTTGTGATGTATTGCGCATGTATTATAGTTTCCTTTCAGTAATGAAAAAAGAGATCCAAAAAAGTTAAACATTGCGTATAATATAGTTAAGTATCTATTGATGATATATCTTGTGGTCTGTATTTTTCGCCATTTAGATGAATGTAATCTTTTATGTTTTTAAAGTATCCGCTGTAATTTTGTGCGTAGATGTTAGAAAATGCTGCAGTTTCTGCAAGTTTTTGTAAGTTTTGGTCTATGGATTGTCGTTATATGGTGTCCATTTTTGTGAGTAGCTCTTGAAATTGTTGTGTAGGGATGTGGCGTTGAATGTTGGAATTAGAGTGTATACCTATTGGCTGTAAACTGATGTTAGGAATTCGGGTAATAGCTTTAATATTTTCTGGTGAAAACTTTTTTAATGGTTGCATAAGTGTAGGATAAGTGTGAGGTAGTAATACTTGTCCTCATTAGGGTTTAATTGTACAACATTGTTGCTGTTTTCTGATCCACATAGGACGGCTGTATCCCAAAAATAAGTTCTTCTTGAGAGTGTGTCTACGAAATGTAATTTTGTTTTTATAGAACATGGGAATTTTTTATAAAATCTTTTTTCTTTAAAAACATATAATGGTGATACTTTTTTGGTACAAGTGTAATATCATAGTATGTTTCCTCGTATTCAATAAAATTCGATCCATTTCTTGATAATAAATATCCTCATAAATAATTTTCAGTACTGCAAGTGCAAGTGATTGTAGAATTTGTGTTCTTTCAAGTTCTTTGAGTATTTCAAGTTCTGGTAAAGACATTTCTTGAAAAATTCTACCTATTGTGTAGTCTAATTTCATGTGTAGGTGATTATCATAGGTGACTGCGCCAAAATAGGTGTCGTTCATGAGTGATAGTTCTTGTAAACGTGTACTGTTTTTGTCCTGTGGTTTAACTTTTCCACCAGTTCTTCCTGTGTTTTTTAGAAGATATTTTGGGATGTACGAGTTTTCGTCGTTAGTTGAAAGGTGATGTGTTGGATGTTGTATGTTGATTAATTTCTCTGTATTCAAGTTGAAACCTTGTCTTATAATATGGTCTGCTATATTTACAAGCGAGTTCTGTTTCTGGGTTAATTTGGAAATGTGTTAGCTTGTTTTCGATTGTATGAATATTTCTAAATTGATAATTGTTTTGTCTGATTTTATCAGGAATTACTTCTTCATAGGGGATTGGTGAAATTATATCATTCTAGCGTGTATTTTTGCTACTTGAAATGTGGTACATAAGTCTTCGGGGAACCAAACAAAAGTTGCTTGTGCTTGTGTAGTGGGATCGCAATATCCTCGGCCAATTTTGCAAGGGAGTCGGATTTCTTGATAAACTATTGTGTCATCTTTTAAATCTCGTGTTAATTGTACTTTTTCAAGTTGTATTTTCTAATCAAAAAACATCATTTCTCGGAATCTTTTGT